GAAGAGCGTGGGCTTTAGAGTCAAGGAAGGCTTGGCCTCTGTCCTCTGCTCTTGTTAGCTGTGGGATCTGGGGCCAGCTCCTCCACCCCTGAGTCTTGGTTTCCTCCTCTGTGAAACAGACGAGTGTCCTGCCTCTTGGGTGAGAGTGAATTAGAGTCACGATGCATAGCTCTGAGCCCTGGACTCAGGCTCCTGTAGTGTTAGTTTCCCGGGTGTGTCTCAGCTCAGGGAACTTTCCAATTTCTTTGTCCCATAAATAAATCAAGTGCTTCTCTAAGCACTGTTTGCCTTCACCAGGACTTATCCTTTGGCAGGTTGATAGGCAGTGTGCTGATTGTCAAGCAAGTATTTGCACGAACGCACTTAGGGTGATGTGGCCAAGGCTGAGGGCCAGAGCAGCCCCTCCGAAGCGGCTTGGGGTACCCCTTGATGAAGCCTTGACATTGGAGGCAGCCCTGCAATTACTGTGTGATGGAGAGCTTGCTGGCAGGTTTTAGCCTGTCTCTGGGTTTCCTGGGGTCTAGAGAAGGCGGGGGGCCTGGGGTAACCAGATTTGGGGCGTTCTTCACTGGAATGAAGGGTCTGTGCAGAGCTTGATGGTTTACAAAGCACGTTCATGCCTCCTGCATCACTGCTGGGCTTATCGTGAGGTATGGCATCGAAACTGGGGAGGCCATGCTGGTCTTATCTCCCACTGGCTGTTCTATTTTCTAGAATGCTTCATTTGAGGGTCTCGACCTTTCTTCCTAGTACAAGTTTTCGCTGTGTGAACTCTCCTAGGTGGTAATGCAGATTAAAGCACTACTAGGACCAGCTACTCTTTGTCGCTGGCCTACCTGCATAGGCACTTTGCCTACAGTTATTATCTAACCTCTAACAGTGTTAAGAGTTTGGTTCAGAATTATTATCCTTACTTTACAGGTCAGGCAACAGGCTCAGAAAGGTTGGGTGGCTTTCTCAAGCTCACACAGCTAGTAAATAACAGAGGCAGGATAGCAATCCAGATGTGTCTGCCTCCTTCCTTTGCCCTGGGCCTCAGGGACCAGTTATACTGTCATATGCCCTGAGCCCTTTCACCTTCGCATACCCCTTCCACTGTAAAAAAATGTTTAAAAGTGTACTTTATGACTGGTTGGCATGAACACAAATATAAATCAGGCTGGATAGCTTCAGACTTTTTTCTTCTGATTTTAAAAGAATTTAAAATATTTCCATGGGCCCCTAAGTGTGTTATGAGCCCTAGGTAGTGTGTCTAATGGATTAGTGGGCCCTGCTGGGTTGCCTGCCTTTTGGGAGACAGAGTTGGTGTCCCCAGAGAAGGCAGTGGGAGAGAGAGAGAGCGCTTGACTCAAGTAACTCTCTTTTCTGCCTGACAGTGTTGGTGGCCTCAGTTTACCCCCGAAAGCCCCAGGCCGTGGAGCGCCACTACTTGCGGTCCTCTGGTACTTCCTGAACAGCACGATCGGGAATGGCGGCTGTGCAGGAGCCTCCAGGGGCAGATGGGCTCCCGGCTGCAGGAGTTGGCCGCCAGCCAGCCAAAGCAAGTCCTCAAATCGCTCCAGGAGCTCTTAGATCCGGAATCCCTGTGAGACAGCCCCAAGGTCACTGATGGGGGGGAGGGCACCTGACAGCAAGACAGTTGGCAGCTCACGCCCCTTTCATCTGGATTAAAGACAGATCTAGGATGAGCAATCGTTATTTTCATCTTATTTTATTTTTATGATGGAATAATCTCCTGGTCTACTTTCCCATAGAGTTCCAGATGTACATAGTATATTTTGAAGTAGAAATAAAACAATTACTTATTTTTCTAAGGTTTTATTGTCTTGTACTTTTTTAACCCCACAGAATTTTCTAGTAGCTAGGTTTGCGACAAAGAAAACAAAACATTATATGGAAACAACCTATGTGCCCATTTTTGGATGAATGGATAAAGATGATGCAGTGCATGCACTCGTGCGTGCGCACACACACACACACACACACATAGAGGAATACTATAAGCCATAAAAAAGATGAAATCTTGTGACAACATGGATGAAACTTGAGGGTATTATGGTAAGTGAAATAAATCAAATGGAGAAAGACAAATACCATAAGATTTCACTCATATGTGGAATATAAAAGAACAAAAGCAAATAACAAAGAAAAAGAACAAACCAAACAGATGCAAACAAATACAGAGAACAGAGTAGCAGCTACAATAGGGGAAGGGTCATGGTGGGGGGAGAGCAAATAGGGTAAAGGGAATTAACTGTATGGTGAATAGAAACTAAACCTTTGGTGGTAAGCTCACTGCAATGTATACAGAAGTCAAAATATAATATTGCACACGTAAAAAATTAAAAAAGAAAACAAAACACAACAACAGCAAAACCAGCTGCTGATGCTACTGAGACGAAGAATGAGGGAGAAAAGTATAGCACAGATCCCCATGTTGCAGACCATTTTGGGGCATAGTCCTATCTGTGCGCAGCTGGAAAAGCCCTCCTGAACCCAAAGACCCTGAGTTGGCCATTCAAATCCAGCACATTTGTCATAAGCCTGATTTGGGGTGAAAATAAGCATCTCCGGGGGACATCCTGCTTCTGCTTTACAAAATCTTCAGTGCAGCATCCTATGTCCTATGTCCTATGGGAACATTCTAACAGGATCTAAAGGCAAGGAGAGTTTGACATTGGCATTACTGACAGCCTTCTTTGGAAGGAGGCTTCCTGGCTAGTTCTGAAGAGGACTGGATGATGATTCACATTTGAAATACTGTAAACAAAAGGACTGGGTGAAGCACAAAGCACCGTGGTGTGCAGACGTCATGTGGGAGCTCTGAAACCACACAGGTTACTCCAGCTGGGCCGGATGGGATCGTGGGCCTGGAGAGGTGTGTTGGACACAGGCTGGACCAGAACATGAAGAAGGTGGAGCCACTGATGGAGCAACAAGAGGAATGGGAAATGGGGTCCTGGCAGTGAGAGGGGGATGGATGCCAAGGGCTGGGGCTCTAGACACAGTAGGAGTGTCTCTGCCTTGCCTGGGGGCAGTGGCTGGCTGACAACAGTGTGACCAGAAAGAACTAGAGCTCAGATCATGACCTCAAACACATGGGTAAGGTGAAGGCTGAAGGGGCAGCATCCCAGTCCCAACCCAGGAGCCAGACCCACAGCAGCAGTCTGGGGCAGATCCAGATGGCCAGGCCCTGAGGCCCAGCTTCATGCCAGCAAGTTTTCTGGCAGGCCCACCAGTGGACACCTCTCCACTGTCACCCACCCCCACGTACAACATCGGTCCACTTCTCTGTTCTGAGCCCCTCCTGAGAGTGTGGGGCAGAACAGGCTGGGAATCTTCAGATCAGCTCATGCAATGTTGCCAGGTGTAACTAGGCTGCCCCACCTCGCCCCCCTGGCCACGAATGCCCTGGGGTGAGCCTGGGCGTGGCACAGTCATCCTGGGATTTGGGCTTTTAATAGGCAGCTTAAGTGTGCTGAGTAATTTCAGCCACAGCCTTAGCGGCTTCTCACCTCTTTGTGACCTTAGCAGGGACTTCCCCGGCACCACCCTGCCCTTTGTTGATTCTGACTGACCGGGCAAACGTCAAAGATGCCCAAGAGGCTGAATTTAAACTTTTACACAATTTAATTAATTGAGTTTGCTTGGAGTCCGAGCAGACTTTTTCAGTTTGCGACTGACATTTTCTGCTGGTCAAGATCCTAGAGCCTATCAGAATATTTCAGGATTTTTTAGAACTGTAGAAGCCCAAGGATTTTGAAGGCAGAAATTAAGCTCAAAGACGTTGCCCTGTCTGCCTGCATTCGGGTCCTGCCTTCTGTCTTCAAACCGGAAGCTTCCCATCTCCTGTGCTCTGTACCCATCCTCACCGGTGGGTGTTTAAAATAACTGAAAACAGCTGAAAAGCAAAGAATAAATCTTTTCATTGTTCTGTTCCCTTCACCATTTCAGGTTTTAATCTAGTCTCTGGGCAGCTGGGCTCTGAGGGCGACACCCCTGGCACAATCCCAGTGGGGAGGCTGGGTTGGAAATTTTGTCTCAAAATTTTCCCACATCATTACTTTTAAAACAAAGGGAAGACAGCTTATTAGTAACCTGGGCCTGTTGGGAGTGCCTGGAGGACTGAGACCTAATGGGAAATGAAGATTGTCCTGAGAGCCACGGCGGGTTTGAGCAGAGCCCACCTCATTCTTTGCTTGGCTGGCTGTGCGCGCAGCCAGGAGCTCTACTTACTCAAGGTGCTTTTGGGGTGGGAATATAGCATCGAGCTATGGAAGAGCTTTTCTCTCTCTCTCTCTCTTTCTCTCTCTCCATTGTGAGAATCAAGAACCAAAGTCTTGTCTGAGAACATGTAACTGCTTAGGAATTCCTTGCTTGGGAAGTTTTGAGATTTTAGGAAAATTGTTTTACAGGCCCCACTTCTTATCTTATTCTCTCTTCCCTGCTTCATTTCTTGCCTCCTGAGTGGAGAAATGTTTCTCCATTCTCATTGTACTTCGGAATCGTCCAGTGAGATTTTTAAAAATGCTGACACCTGGGACCATCCCTGGGGATTTTTGTTCCATGGGTATGGGGTAGGGCCCAGACGGCTATCTTTTCTTCTTTTCTTTTCTTTCTTTTCTTTTCTTTCTTTTCTTTCCTTTTCTTTTTTTCCTTCAGGCTTTATTGAGGTATAATTGACATATAACACTGTGTAAGTTTAAAATGTGCAGTTGTTACCAAACCAGATTCATTTGCTTGATGCACAGCAAGCTAAACGCTGAGATGCTGAGGTTTGCAGCAGAGAAAGGGTTTATATGGCAGCCAAGCGAGGAGCTGGAAGAACGTTTCAGATCTGCTTGCCCAGAAGGTGAGGGGCTGGGATATTTATAGGATAAAGAAGCAGGGGGGTTCTGAGGCGTGGGGAGTGTGGGGAAAGGTGACTGGAGATAAGAAAAAAGGTGAGGTAAGAAAAAGGTTGCGTTCTGTGCAGGTGCAACTAAGCTACATGCTTCTTCATGGGACACATGTTCAGAAAATTGTGGCCTTAGCATGTTCTGAGGGTGAAATTTTTGGCCCTCTGACTTCAAAAGGTCATGACACTTAACGCATGCACAGTTGGAGGGTCAGTTGTCCCAACCAGTCTTAACCGGCTTGAGCTGGGCAACAGTTGACTCCAAGCTCCTGGAAAACAACTTGGGCAAACATGTTATTGTTTAGGCTATGTAATGCTAGGAGGACATGCAAGTTTTTGTGAAAACAATTAAAGCGAGCTTGATCAGTGTAGGCAGCTTATAGTTATTATTTATTAAGCAAGTTATAGTTTAATGGATCTAACTGATGACTAGCCTCGGCTTCACAATGTATTGTTTGATACACTTACATATTGCAAAACGATGGCCACCACAGCCTTAGCTCAAGCCTCCATCTGGTCACATAATTGCGATTTCTTTTCTGTGTTGAGAATATCTCAGATTTACTCTCTTGGCCACATTCACATGTATAATACAAAACTATTAGCTATAATCACCCTGCTGTACAGTAGATTCCCAGAATTTATCAGCCTTTTGACTGGAACTTTGTACACTTTGATCCATGTCCCCCCATAGTCCCCACCCCTGGCCCCACCTCCCCAACCCCTCGTAACCACCACTCTACTGTCTGTTTCTCTGAATTCAGCTTTTTTAGATTCCACATATAAGTGAAATCATACAGTATTTGTCTCTCTCTGTCTGACTTATTTCACTTTGCAAAATGACCTCGTTTCATCCAAGTTGTTACAAATGGTAGGGTTTCCTTCTTTCTTATGACTAAATAGTATTCTGGGGTGTGTGTGTGTGTGTGTGTGTGTGTGTGTGTGTGTGTGTATCTCACATCTTCTTGATCCATTTCTTTTCTCTCTTCTCTTTTTTCTTTTGTCTACAAGTGATTCTAATGGGCGGCCAAATTCTGAAACCACAGTAAATCAAAGGTGTAGAAAGTGGCCCTGTGGGTGCCTGGCAGCCCTGGGGTGTACTGGGTTGGGGACAGAGGCTGACTGAGGCCAGGCACTGGAGTCAGAGAGGCTGGACTCAAGTCCAGGCAATGTTGCTCCTGGTGTGTGGCCTTGGAGACACTTGTCAACCTCTCTGATCTTCCCTTATCAATCCAGTGTGTGTGTGTGTGTGTGTGTGTGTGTGTGTGTGTGTGTGTGTGTTGTATATGTGGTAAGTGGGTGGGAGGAGGATGACAATATTGCCCACCTTAACTGGGCTATTGTGACGATTAATGAGACAATTCTTGTAACTACTTAACACGAGGCCATGAGCACAGGAAATGCGTGACGAACATTGGCCATTATGTTTCTGGAGACATTGCTTTAGGATCCGGGTCTAGGATCAGCTAGGACCAGGGTCTTGCAGGCTCTGCAGCCCTTGGAGTTGGAGGAGTGGATGTGACCTTGGAGATCTGCGGAGCCTGAGACCCACTGTTAACTTGGCTGGGCTTGTTTCAGAGGATGGAGCATGGTCTGCCCTCTCTGCTGGGAAGCTGGGCCTGCTCTTGCCACTGGGGCCTGTCACCTCTCCAGTTGCCTTCCCCCTTCTCCTTACTTGACACGTCCCTCACAGCTACCCTCAGCATCCCCACCCCCTACCCCAGGAGAAATCTGGAAGCTCTTCTCACTGCGGGCTTGTTGCCTGCACTCCAAG